CAAGGATTAAAAATCAGTCCTTTTGTACATAAACCTCAGCTTGATTTCAAACTCATTCTTGTCATTTCCTTTATTTCATGTTATCTGTTTCCATTATACAAGCAAGGTTTTCCTTTTAATTAAATCTGTACTTTCTTTGAGAGTTCTCGTTTTTTTATCTTTTCTTACTTTTATACATTCTCCTTCTTTCAGCTGATCTCCTTTGTTTCCCCTCCTTCCTTGTCTTTGGCTTTTTATCAGTCATCTTGCAAGGAATGGTAATAAAAGGCCAACACAATGAAGGAGCCCTGCTCTGCTTTGTTGTGTTGTTGTCGCAGACTCTCTCCTTTGTCTTTTATTTTTGTTTGTGGCAGCAGTCCTTATCGGAGAGATGGGTGAGAGATTTGGCCTCGGTGCTTCTTTGTGGTGAAATAATACAACAAGAAGATAAGGCCTTGTGGGTGACCAGTTCAATGCTTTCCACCTCCTGCCAATGTATTCTCCTCATCCTGAGGTGTGCTAGGAAGTCCCCAGTGGGGCTAACAGATATCGCAGCTTTGTGTCTGCAACCACCTTTGATATAATGTCAGCCCTCCCTCCTCCCCCTATTGGATGACAAGTCATGCATTTTCAAACTGCATAGCCGGGTAGCTTTAAAAATAAAACCGCATGTGGCGGCCATTTTTGCTGTAAAACTGTATTACTATGGAGGAAGCAGACACCTGGTCTGAGAGGAGTACCATGCACAATAAAAATGGCTCCAGCTGAGCTCTGCATAGATGTGAAAAGTTTTTACAGCCATCTGTTAAATACTGATGGCGACACAAGTTCCTGGCTGAAGCCATTACTTTGAGTCTAATCGACAGTACCTATTAAGATTTCATGAAGTGGTAATGATTTCCAGCACTGAAATATGTCGATCATTATTATATGACAATGTATGATGCAGTCTCCCCATATGCAACAAAACAATTCCCATCTTGTCAGGTTCAGTTCAACTGCTACCAAACACTGGGAGGGTAAACCTCTATGGAACGGACTTGATTTTCCAGTCACAATGTTGTAGAAGAAAGTATGACGGCCACCTAGAACCCACCATAGAACGCTTTAGGTGAATAAATACTCTCAGATTTAAGAAGAAATTACAGAATGCAGCCTACTTAGACAACACATAACCAAACCAAATGGCTTTTTTCCAAGCTAGTCTTTTGTAATCCCAAAACATGAGCATTTACTCCCTCAAAAGTCCTTAATCCTGTTTAAGTGACTTCAAACACAGAGCTACAGCTCTGTCTTTCATTAATTGAACTGAAATGAGTTACTTTCTCTCTGCATTTATATATATATATATATATATATATATATATATATATATATATATATAATATGAAATAGTCATCCAGTGCATAGCAGCATCCAAGTATTTTCCAGCATCACTGTGAAAACATCATTGTTCAGACCTTAGATCCATATGTTCATCCATTTGTGCTTCTAACACCTCTCATGCAACACCCCTTGATATGAATCACTGTAGAGGAGTAATACATGCTATTTGCTTGACCTGTCTTTAGCCTTAATGTACCGTAATGACGGTTCCAAAAGCCGACGTTTTTAAGTTTATAGAGTAGATGTTTATGGATCGAGAAGCAAATACACAAAGATTGGCTGTCTGGCTGCCCATCGATTTATATGGCGGTTGACTAAAGAATGGTGGTGGGTGACACTGGCACTCAATAGCTGTTACATTTTCATATAAATAACAGCAGCGTTCTGGGCCGTAATAGCCTCAGAAATTACAACATGGATGAAAGAGTGGGCCCACAGTATTAACTACAATGGGGCCTTTTTTTGAAACTTTGCACTAACACTTGGAAATATTTCCATACCACTGGATTTAAGGACATCCAAATCCACATCAGAAATGCGTTGCATTATCACTATTGCTGACCAGTCATAAGGTGCCAGTGCTGACGGTGAAATAAAACTTTGACTTGTTAATGTTAAGCTCAGTAAGGATCCGGCAGAGACACAGAATTCCCACAACAATTTCCTACATCTTTTACAGCGGCTCTTTGTTAGCCACTAAGCTGTTTCACAAAATGCACACTTAGATTAAAGAGTTCAGAAGTGGAGGAGACATCAAGCATAACTGATTTATTAGGCTGAGAGAAGGGAGGAGATCCAGACGGAAAAACAGAGGGAGGCCCCCGTGTGCCTTTTTAATTACTTTTGTCAAGGTGTTTGCTTCGTCTCTGAAGGACGAAGCAAACAATATCATTGGTCGTAGGGCCAATTTAAGAAACTCACAGATTGAGCCGTAGGGTTTGTCAGCGTGCAGAACTGACTGCAGCAAAACACAGCTAAAACCTCTCCCTGCGACGTCCATGCAGGCTGTGAAGCTGCTAAACCGAGCAGAATGAGGCCACTGATTCAAGGGTGCCCCCCTATCACCTCATGTGCGTACCTGAGGGTTGGAAGAGGACAAAGGAACAACATGCGCCTGTCTGTTTGATCTCCCTGTATGAGGTGTGCTGCACATGTAGGCTGCTGACACGTCACGGATTATTTGCTTTTGCACTGCGCTGCCCGTCATTGCTCAGCTTTTTTCATAACAGAGAGAGGCTGAGAAATATTTTTTATGCACACAGACAGAGGCACTTCTTTTGATTGCACTGCCGCATAAAACATCCAGGACCACAAACTCTATTTAGGCTGCCCTGCTGGAATGCAACTATACTAACTAAAAGACAAGAGACCAACCAGTCACTCACACACTGAGAGAAATAACAATGAGGAAAAAATACACATCATTCTGGAGATCTGTGACATAAATGTCAAGTGCTTCTCAGCAGATAATTGGACTTCAAATCGCTGTGTTTCTCATTAAGGCCTCAGTAATATTGACGGATAGTCATAAGGGAATATAGAAATGATCACTATATTCATTATTCATAAATAAAAAGAAGGGGACAAGAGGAAGATGAGTGTTTCTGCTGACAATGCTTTCAGAAGCCCGAGACATTTTAAGAGCGGATACAATTCCCTCCCTCATCAGTCCCAGTCATAAATGGTTTCTGCTGCGCTCTTTTTCATCCGTCAACATGATCCGTTCTGCGTCTTGATCTCTTGTTTCCTGCTGTACTCTTGCTCCAATATTTTAGCACTGTGTAGTTTATTGAGAAGAAATTACTCTATCAAAGTCTTCTTTCTTGTATGAGCTGAAATGTACCTAAGAATGTATCGTCAGTAAAATAAACCAAAGCAAAAATAATTGAAATCATGGAACAAGACGGCAAAATAAATATCTGTGAAAGCTCCTGTGGTTGCACTGGAACAATATCACAATGTAAATATTTATCTGCTGAAGGTATTCTACTGTCCTGGCAGCAGATAATTAAAAACAGCATGTGCATTACACTTATGTGTGGGTTTGACAAGCCTGAGAGGAAGAAACACAGGATGGTAGGGAGAACAGCATCGAATTGAAGAAGGTAATTAAGTTGACCAGAACAAGGCGAGTTGTCTGTTAAATATCTCTTGCAGCCTCACACAAAAAGCCCAGTGGAAGGCATCAACAACAGGCACCAACAACAATTATGGAATAATTAGCTGAGAGGCAACCTGGAGGACTTTTCTTGGGCAGCAGCAATATTTGGATATAATTGCGCAGTTAATTCTGCACAATTGTTCCTTTTCCTCAGATGCAGTTTAAAAGTGGATTTTGTGCAATGGAACAAGAACAATATATATGTTTTTTTTTTATTTATATGTCATATCCAAGATATATTGTTGATTGCAATGTTATTGTTTACAGTATTAACATTGCAAAGGCCTGTATGTAGTGCAATATTTGTTGGCTAACGGTCTAAATGTCAGAAATTTCTACTTTAAATACAGTCATCAAATTGGTAAGTGGAGCAGTTACAACAAATCAGAATAGAATAAAACAGAAAGAGACACAGTGAAAGAGACACAAATATAAAACAATAATGCAAAGAAATATAAATACAGATTTATCTTGAGTTGACTCCATCTGACATGGAGGAAAGTACCCAAGTTGGTTTGTGCAGCCTCCCTGTGACAAGTGGGAATAATGTAGCTTTATTAAATCCACAAAATATATTTGATGCATAGAATGGGAAAATGTGGCTAAATCTTTCTAAATATACCTACTTCCCTTTTTTTTAAATATTCAAATATATAATGAGCAAACATAAACAGGTTGTAGCTTTGATAAGGAACTCAAACAGGATTAAGAATTCATGAAAGTTTTTAATCCGATTAAAATGTTTTAAATGTTCTCCCACTAATAGACAGAAAGCATGTCAGGAGGGGAAGACATTCCTTCAATGAAGTAGGAAGAGAAAAATGTGGACTAATGTAGTGGCTAAAGATTAATATTTGCATTTCTGACATTATTTTTCACTATGCAACAGTCATGATGGCACCTGCTCATAAAACATGGGTGAGAAGTATTGCTCCCAATCCCCATCAAAGAAGAAAGCAGGCAGTCAGGGTTGTTATGTTTTAGGTTGTGCTGTAGTTGCATCATTGTTATTCATTAGTTGAATTTAAGGTTTCATATGAACTAGTACCAGAAATAAACCCCAAATTATTGCAATAATATCAGTATAGTTTACCATTTTATCTATCTAGTTCCTTATATATATATATATATATATATATATATATATATATATATATAATCATGTCTTTTCTGCAAATAGACCAAGAGAAATATTCCAAATAAAAAATCTGCACACTGAATCTGGACCAAATATGCTCCATTTGTGATACTTCAGAGATTTTGTACTGCAGTTAACTGTAATGGAGCGAGAACGAGTGAGACTATTTTTATCCCACCCTTAGGCCTGGGGCAGCCATGTCAAAAGTCAACAACTGTGGTGACTACATGCTGTGGCGCTCATGTGTCCCAACTGCATGCAAACACACACATTCTCCCAACTACATAATTTGCCACGCATAACGAGATTTGAAGTTTAATTAAAAATAAGATGTACTTTGTGGACGTGGTCAAAGGCGAGGTTTACAGCAATGCGTAAAAAAGAAAAGCTTGTGCAAAATGCATCATTTATCAAAGCGCAATATAACAACAAATAGAATGTCAATGTCGTTACCCTTGTAGTCCTGTGAAACTCGAACATGTCTGACAGTGTAACATTGACAATGAAATCAAATTTACCCCATGTTAGCCATGGCAATATTGCTCTGTTTGAGGCAAGCTCATAATGTATTGATGTACAGCTTTGAGAAGGACAAGCCGTAGTCACTATGATTTGTTACACTAATAAAAGTGAAGACACAGTATTGTCCTGCCTCCTCAAATACGAATACACACACATCATCCTCTCTCGCTTGCACACTTCTGCTTCATGGACCACTTGGCTTTGTAGTAGCGAAGAGCTTGAACAAATTGAGAAATGATTGGAATTGAAAGATGAGTAATGGTGATTCTACCGCTGTTCCTTCCCAATATGGAGATGATGAGATTTGATTCTTTGAGGTCAGGTGTCCCATCTACAGCCAGAAGTGATACATGGAAGCTCATGCGCTTACAGAAGCCTTTGCTAAAATCCGCTACATTAAGACATGAAATCAATGCAATATTTACCAGTGCCATTACTATAACGTTACCACTACTCATGGCAACATAAACAATTCCATGATTTATGGATCTGAAAAAATGAGTAGAAATAAAAGGGAGTTTATTCAATTTTCTTCTTAAGTGAAAAAGAATGACAAACAAAAAGAAAGAGCTAAATTTAGCAAGGTGAAACTTTTGTTCATCAATGAACTGAAATTTTATCGATGATGTTCAAATTGCATGATTTTTTTTTTTTTTTTTTTTGTCTTGAGGTCATTTTGACAAAAAGTGAAGATGGCTTTGCATGTCTTTCCAAGGTTCTGTCCCAGTCAGTCAGGGAAAATGAAGGAGCAAGAGTGACTTGTGTCAGCACAAATCAGAGGATGTCAAACAAATCACTTGTGAAATAGATGTGTCCTCCCCCCCCCCCCTTTTGTTCATTAGAGTGTGACAATTCAATGATGAAGAAAGTACCTGAAAATCAGTTTGAGCCCTGTTTCTTGAATAATTTTTCCAAATTTTCCAAGTTCCTTTCAAGTTTTTTTTTCCTCTTTTACGAGCAGCTACAAAATAGCACAAAGCTGTTGGCAGGCATTAAATGTGTGCAAACCTGTGTTTGCAGGTCATTCTAATTCTGGAACATGACACCTAGGCACTTCAGTTACTACTGAGCAAATAACATCTTTCTACACTTCACATTTTCCCATATCTAAATTGGATATAATTAATAGGCTTATGGAACTACAAACCCATATTTATGTATTTTTACATAGACTACTGCCAGTGAAATCTGCTTTGAATTTCTGAAGATCAAAGATGTTGGTGCCCTCAGATTGCAGAGAAAAAAAAATACCATCTGTGGAAAGCTGACGGTATTTTGACCCATGAAAGTAAAGATTGAGAAAAAGCCACCTGCTACACAGCTGGCCTTACAAAACATGGGTCAGAGATGCAACAGAAGGTAGAACTCATCCTCTCTGCTTGTCTTCATCCCCTTTAGGAAATGTGACTAATATATTGTGTGAATATCTCTTCTAATGTAAAAATATTGACTAAATTGCATTTGAAACTCACCATTACTTGTCTACATCCGCTTATTAATAAAGGAATGTGGGGGACGGCTACTTACACCAAGCGTTCACTCGGTGACAGGTGGGGTACACCCTGGAAAGGTTGCCAGTCGATCATGGAGCATGACAGATCCAGCAAAAGTAGTTTTGTCAAGAATGAGCCATCATGTTTGTGATCCAGAGGCAGATTTTACTTATTTTATATCATGTACACATTTGTGGACATGAACAAAATGATTAACATTAGTCTGTATCATCAGATAAGTGCAGAAGACCCATGCTCTATAAAATTAATT